TCAGCATCTCTATGTCCTTACTCATGCTGTTGAGCTTCCTCAAGATCATGGCTCTGAATTCTAGCTCTGTTAATATGCCTAACTGCTCCACATTGATCTCATCTTCAGTGGAGGTCTCTTGTTCTTTCATTTGGCTTTTGTTTCTGTGTTTCACCATTTTGGCTATCACAGTGGGCTTTGAAGCCTGCCATGTTTTCCCTGTGGGTATCGGTGTTCTGCTATTTGTAGCTCCCTCTCCTGGGTTTAGATGAGCAAGGGAGGACCCACGTTAAACACCACTGTCAAGTCTTACTTTCCTGGTTAGAGTTGCTAGCCCAGGAAAGGTACTGTTATCCTCTTTTTGCCTGGAGGCTAGCAATCCTGGTTACTTGAAGAGTTTTGGATTGTCAGTTGATTGAAAAATTCCCTTAGGTGCTCAGCATAAGGGGATTTCCCGAGGGTGGGGCTGATGCTGGTTGTTAATGAGCCTCAATTAGCATTTCAGTGGCCCACAGGGTGGGGTTGGATCTCCGAGGGAGGGGCTGCTGCCTCTCCTCAGAGCCCTGGGAAGGAGCAATGTGGCCACCGTCCTGTGTGGCTGGCACTCAGCAAACGCTCTGTGCGCCCTCCAAATCCCGAGTGTCCCCACACAGTTCCAGTCCAGTCTGCCCTCCCTCTGCCGGAGCCCAAGGTGAGTGGCTGTGGCTGTTTCAGCCTCTGTCCCGGCTCTGCGCTGTGGAGCCGCCTGGGAGTGTGACCCGAGAGTGCTGCTCCCAGCTGAGGCCGCTGCCGAGCTGCCGACCATGGGCTCCCAGCCCCGTCTCGCGCCTTCACAAGCCTACCGGGATGGAGTCAGTGTCCCTCATTGTATGGTCCTCGCAAGCTGCTTTTCTGTTGGTTTTTCCCATCGACTTGTCTGTGTTTTAGTTGTAATTCCATTTGGTCCTGGGAGACGTCTGTGTAGCTCCGCCCCCATTTTGGAACCTCCCCCCACTGACTTCAAAATTCACCCTTCCCGAGACTGTTCCCCGCCAGAATACACACGGACATTGCCGTCACTAAGACAGTCAAAGCTAAGTGTCAAACTCTTCACCTTTCCCAGCACCGTGTTTATAACAAAATCTATAAAAATATAATGTAAGACAAAAAGATCAGGATCACATATAAAATGTGATCTTCACTTAACACTGATCGATGTCTTTGTGGGGGGAAAAGCTTCCAGGCAAGATCAATGATTCTTCACAAGCAGTTCATTGAGATTTCTTCAAAAGTCAGGGCAACAGAGAGGCTACCGTACCGCGCTCCTGCTGGTCTGGTGGTCTCCTTACAAAGACCCCGCAACTGGTTTTTTTTCCAGAAGTTGATCTTAAGGTGGATGAGAAAATATGCCAGGAAACCAGTTTCTTGCCCTTAATCTCTTCCAGCAATTGATGTTGTTGCTTCCTTATTTTTGAGTAGAAGTCATAAAATGCTGTCTTTTTTCAAAGTTGCTACATAGTTTTTCTTACAACAGTCTGAAGTAAACACTAACTTTTCTTACTTGATTTGTACTTTTTACATAAATCATTACAAAATTTTGGAAGCAAATCTTTTGCCCACATTTTGATAGGTATCATTTCTTAAGGTGATTACATCAGTTTCTTTATTATTTAGGCTTTGTGTCATGCATTTTCCCCCAGGTTCATTCTCCTTGTGTACTATGGCCTTTTGCACACACCTTAGCTCTTAAGTATTTCCTACAAGCTGTTCTACGAATATGGCAAGGCAGTCTCTGAAGGAAAGCTTAACCCAGGACAGGACAACAGACCGGAGAATCCTTGCTTTCAAAAGTAAAGAAAGAGGTGGAGGGGTGTGGAGGGATGCACTGTTTAAATTTCAAGGGAGCTTATCATTTGCTTTTCCTCTTCTTTCCACGTGTCCCTTGGTAGCATATGCATCTGTCTTTCACTCGTGGGGAGGAACAGGGCGCCCTGGGTGTTCAGCCCCACTTTGCAACCTCACCTTCTGATTCAGTCTCCTTAGAATACATCTGAAAAGGTCTGGAGGACTCAACGAATACCTACTATCCTTTTTCTTTTCTGTCGAAACATGGATTCTTTCCCCCACATCATTAAATCTTTATGTAATATTACCCCAGTACTACAGAAACAGAATGTCTATGTTTTATATTTTATGGATTTATTTATTTACTGCGTGTGTGTGTGTGTGTGTGTATGTGTGTGTTTGTAAGAAGAGGGGGCTTAAATATTAAGGCACCAGAGTAGCCATCTCTCAAAGAACTTACTTTGGTGATTGTTTGATTTGTGTTTCTTTTTGTTTTAAGTCCAGGAAATCATATTTTTATGATTAATTGCAGTATATAAGTGACTTCTTTCTGCCTGGGTGAGTCTCACCTACCCTTCCAGGCTTAGCTGGAATCCAGTCCTAGGCAAGAGGCGATGAACACCACCGACACTACCATCCTCTCTTATTGTGGTGATTTATATCTAGGTACGATTGTGCGTCCTTGTGTCCAAGCTCCTCTAAGGCAATGCCTGTGTCTTTCTCCTTCTTTCCTCCTCTTCTGGGAAGTGACGGACACAGTGAGCAAGGGCAGGGGTGTCAGCGTAGATAGACAAGGGTTTGAAGACTGCTCGGTCACTTTCAAGCTTGTCTCCCAACACGCTAACCTCTCTGAGGCTTGATAGCTGGCAGGTAGTTATGACAAATAAATGCAGTGGCCAAAGTATCTGTGACATGAGATGGTCAATAAATCAGTACTATTCTTTTCCTGTCTCTTTCAGCACCTGTGCACAGGCTAGCACATAACAGACATGAAGCAAATCTCTCTTGAGGGAATAAATGGGTGAAATAATAGAATTTCAATCTACTCTATATCCTTAACAAATACAATTTATGGTTGCTGTGTTGTTTCTTTTATTTGGTTTCAGATATCCTAGGATTTGGTTTGACTCTTATTGCATTTATGCCGAGAGTGGTCTCTGCATTTCACCCCAAACCCCCCGTGGTTTCTTCCCGGATGTCTTCTGCACTGGCCCTGGGTGACTGGAGGTCCTGGCCCGTTTGATGATTACCTTGGCGTTCTTCCAAGTGGAGCTTTCTAATTTCAGAGTAAAAACGCTGGGGGAACAAACCACAGATGTGCATTGAAATATGCACAGTGTGAGTCCAGCGCCTTTTCTAAGAGTTATAATAAGAAAGGTTCTTAACCTAAAGATGTTGGAAAACTTAGCATATTTTTTTTTCTTTTTCTTTGTCTAGTCCAAGAATACTACCTTATTTTTCCCACATCACACTGGGTTTTGAGAAACTAAAAATATGTTATCAAAACATTTGTTCTCCAAGGGTAGACTACATCTCTCATGCTTTTACAGGTCATAATAGATTTTAAATATTATATTCAACTCAAAAAAAAAGCTTTTGTTCCTTTATTATATAATACAAAATATCTTTGCACTTTATAATTCAATTACTCTAATAAAAACTCTTGATAAAATCTGGGTTGTTTTTTTTTTTTTTTTTTTAAAAGTAGCAAAGAAACTTTATGATTACTGTAGTCCATACTTTTTCATGGCCTTGCTCTTCGTCTTTTGTTTGCCTAGAATGGCTACTATTCATCTTCCTATGTTAAGTTGGACAATTTGTTAATTTAATATGTATCTACTGAGGGCTACTTATACAAGGAGCGAATTATATTTTTAGTTTTAGAGAAAGTTACCCATAGAATAGTTGGATGTAAACCTTCCCACTTTTCACTCTCGGAATACTTTACATCCTGCAGAATGGTTTCCTTGCCTGTGTGGTGGTGTACTAGTTAACTGTGAGCTTGTGTCTTACTTCCTGCTATTCTAAGAGTGTTGCAAGAATGCCCTAATTGTTGTAAATCTGGTAGAGACTAGCTCAGCTCCTGGTCCTTATTTGTGCTCAAGTTTAATGGAGTGTGTAGACACCTCTATAGGGTTTTTTAGAGCCAGAGTTTAAAAACCTTGTTTCCTAGACTCCATTAACCAAAGACATTTGCTGCTGACTCCCCAGGAATTCCTCACGTGCTGAGAGTTTCCCAGCGGCACCCACCCAGCCCTCCTGCAGAATGGGCTTGTTTCCAGACTCTAGGAGAGACATGGCTGGGGACCCTACATTCCACTGTCACCCACTCACTCCCACTACAGTTGGGAAGCAGATATGGAAGTTGACTTAATTAAACTGACAATGTTATTGACTTTTATTAAGCAAATTCTGCCAAAGACCAAATTGAAAGCTGAGTTGTTTTAAAGGAATTTTCAAAATGGAAACATTTTACTTGAAATACCATCATTAGCTAAACTGTCTAATGTGACTCAAGACCTTGACCATACTTTGGGTTATAAACAGATTGGCCCCAATCCTTTTCAGTTGCCTTTGGTCTGAATATTGGTTAATCTGTGCGTGTTACATTAGGAACAGTTGATGCACCTGTGTGTAGAGAACTCATCATGCCAGATGAAATGCATGTGCCTCATCGCCCCTTTCCTAATATTTTTTTGAGGGGGAACTTCTGAAATGTATGATTAGAAAAACAAAAGTAAAACCAAAAGTTAATCAGCAGAGAAGTGATATAAGTAAGCTAGGTGACTTCTCAGATTGTTTACTTTGTACCTTTGATGCCAATTTTTTTTTCTTGCTGTTTCCTTAGGTAGAATGAGAATTGGGACAAGAAAGAATGAAATTAGTGAAAATTGAACACCTTTCTGACAGGGACAGTCTCTGTTATTTGATAGACATTGAACTGTGAGAACTAAGGTTGGATACAATCTGTCATGTTGCAGTAATCAACATTGGCTTAGTTTTTTTATGCCAAACATTTTATCTTGGTAGGAGGAAAATGACAAAAAGAGGCAATAAATTACTGAACTTGGTATGCAAAGAATGATAGTAATATTAGCACTAACTGTCAGAAGTCGTAGCTAACCTATGTTTATGAGCTCACCTGAAATCACTTTCTGGCCTCTTTAAGTCTATTTTCTTTTTACATTCTTTTACAGGTAAAGATAAGATTAAAGTGTCTGAGGATGACTTGAAGAAACTCCCTCTAATTAAATGGTGTATTTTGGAAACAATTCGTTTAAGAGCTCCAGGTGCCATTACTAGAAAAGTGCTGAAACCAGTTAAAATTTTGGTAAGCTTTGGTTGGCTTTAAAATAATCCTTCTAGGAAAAAAATGTACACATTTTGCCCATATATTATTAGATAATTTCTTAGGTTCCAGTAGCACTACATGATCCTGGAATAGGTTACTAATAAGAGTTGTGCAGCCACATTTTGTTAATGTAGGTATTTATCCATTGGTGAAGATTTTAATTACAATGAAATGTTTTAATAATCATTTGGGCCTCATTTCGCTACAATATAATATTTTAATAACCATTTGGGCTGTGTGATTCTGTATAAGAATTGGTATAACCCTATTTCAATCAAGCAAGTAGATTAGATAACGTCTTCTCTGCGAAACTGGCCACGATTCCTGAGCAGCCAGAGGTTGGGGAATTCATGTGCAGGGAAGTTTCAGCTGGAAGACAGTTTCAGGCCACAGGCTACAGGTCTGGGAACAGATAGCAGGGGCATCATAGGCACTAGCAACTGATACTCGCAATCAGTGACTGAGTGAAGGAGGTCCTTTCTATGGGCAAAGTAGGAGAAAATTCTGAAGCGCACCGTGAAAGGTACGTGTACAGGGCAGAATTTCAGTTCAATATTTGCTGAATCGGTCAGGCAGAACAAAATATTTTTTCAGAACGATTTGACTCAGAACGATTTGACTCAGAGCCTGCAAGATTACATGAAGTCAGACTTCCACTCTTGTTGGCTTTTTCAAACATGCAGCTAGAGTGCCTGGATTCAAACTAAGAAAATTGTGTAGTAGGAGAAAACAAAATTAATTTTACTTATTTCAACAGCTTTACCAAAAGAAACATCCATGCTCAAACATATATACACTTGTACATACACAACCCCACATCCCCATGACTGTACCATAACAACTAACCAACATTCACCTTGTATGACATCAATACAGAAGTCTGGTTCTCATCATAGGGTAAATATTGTCATTAAAAAAAGTTTTTAACATTATTTTTCACTTTTCTTGCATCTAGAGAGTTTTCGTATTTATTTCAATCGCCACATAATAGTCCACTGAGTTAATAGCTTAAATATTTTGTTACTTCCTGGTTCTTGAGAATTGAAATTGTTTTCCTTTGTGTTTATTTTAATATGGTAATTATTTGTATCTTTGAGAAGAGTACATTTTCTTTTCTTTTTTCTTTTTTTAACCCTCATCTGAGGATATATTTATTAATTTTAGAGAGAGGAAGGGAGAGAAAGGGGAAAATAATCCTTGTGAGAGACAAACATGAATTGGTTGCCTTCCATATGCGCCCTGACCGGAAATCGAACCTGTAACCTTTTGGTGCACAGGATGACACTCCAACCAGCTGAGCCACCCAGCCAGGGCCATTTTCTTTTTTTAATGATTATCTTTTAATTATGGTTTGCTGGTGGATTACTGGCCCAAGGGTATAAACACATGTATGATTCACGACATACAATCCTCTTAAAAAGTCTAATTTTTATGGGATCCCAATAAAAATTTAAAAATTAGAAATAATTGATATCCAGAATGAGTCAAGAAATTATTTTAAATAATTAGAAGTTTCATATGTCCTAATCGTCACTCACACTTTCTTCCTAGAGGCTGGTATCTATGCAGACGCCCTCCCGGCCCCTCAACTGGTGATGGCCGTCTTAGTGGCAGAGCAGCCCGAGACCTGTGCTCAGTCTGCATCTTCCAAGAATGTCCCCACACTCCCTTTTATTGTTTCCCACAGTATCTTTTTCATATTTGCAAGAGGTGCAGTGTTACCTGTACTTACTACTTCTTTTATACACTCAGCCTTTCCTCTCAGGAGGGCCAAATTAATCTGAATTCCTCCCTGTGAAAACGAGACTTTTACTTAAAAATAGTAACTTGCACCCCAGCCAGTTTGGCTCAGTGGTTAGAGCATCAGCCCATGGACTGAAGGGCTGTGGGTTCGATTCCAGTCAAGGGCATGCACCATGGATATTTTTCTCCCTTTCTGTGACCCTCCCTCCCTTCCACTCTATCTAAAAATTAGTGGAAAAATATCCTTGGGTGAGGATTAACCAAATAAATAAATTAATTAATTAAATAAAAATAACTTGCATGGAGTTTTCTTTTTATTACATAAGTAATACATAGTAATTAGGACAAAAGGAGACCATAAAAAGAAGCTGAAAGAAGAAATTAAAAATTGCTTAAAATTTCACAAGTCAGAGTTACTACTGTGAACTCTATAGTATTATTATAATTTTAGATTTTTTTCCCTATAGTGTATACATTGTAAAAAATTCAGTCGGGGTCATACGGTGTTAATTTTTTTATAACCTGAAACTTTTATTTAATAATAGATCACAAATCATTTTCTCTTTCAATAAAGGACATCTACATCATTTTGCATTTCAACATAAAAATCTAATCTATGGATAGAGTGTAAAATTTTAAATCAGTTCCCTATTCTTATATATATGGCTTTCATTTTTTGCTATTATAAACAGTGCAAAGATGAACATCCTTACAGCTAAATCTTTGTGTTTGTTACTAATTATTTTCTTAATATAAATTCATACAACTTGGTCATTTTCAGCTTTATGTATTTTCCAAATATAATTTTGGTGGCATGTCTTTTCTGAATGCACTGACATGTTCCTAGGAATTTGGATTATAGAAAACATTTCCTATGGGGCCATCTGTGCTGAGGAGGGGCAGAGGCTCATTTGTGCTTCCTCTCCTATTGGACGCCTGGTCAAGGTTTCTCGCTGTGAGGGCTGCAAGTGTTCTCCCCTGCTCTTCCCCGGTGTAGTCTGAACAGGGTTTCACTGTTTATTTTTGCTCCTGTAGTCATTTCTATATTTTTTGGACTAAATTAAAATGAACAAACACTATCTGCTTTCTTTGATTTCTTTATTTTTCTTCTTTTTCTTTATTATGCCACCTTTTGAAAACTCTTAAACTTCTACCTATAATTTTCCCTCAAGGTTTCATATTTTTCAATACAAAGTTAATCTGTAAAAATACCAAGGAAAGAACAAAAAAGGAGTGTTGTAAAATATGAATAATTCAGGACTATTAATTGTCTTCTCAAGGTATTAAAACATGTTATAAAACTACTACATTTAAAATGACATGATACTGGCGTCAGATCAGGTGTTCAGATCAATAGAACAGGTTGGATAGATGACAAAGAAACAAAGCCCCTACTACAGAAGAATTGAACAGAATAAATGAATTCGTATACAGTAAGTCAATGAAGAGGGGAGAGATTACTGTATGGCTTGAGATGACTTCCTAAAAGTGGGTACTTTTTTTGATGTAGTGTTCCTCAAACTTTTGGTCTCAGGATCCCTTTATACTTTTCAAGATTATTGAAGATATCAAAGAGCTTTTGTCTGTGTGAGTTATACCTATTCATACTTACTGTTTTAGAAACCAAAGCTGAGAAATTGTTCGGGTATTTATTTAGTAATTCATTTAAATAGAACAAGAAACCTATTACATGTTAAATTAATAGCATGGTTTTAAGAAACATATTTTCCAAAAAAAAAGTGGTAAAAGAATAGCATAATTTTTAAGGTTTTGCAAATCTAATGCCTTGCTAATAGAAGATATCTGATTTCCTATATATGTGTCTGCAATCAGTCTATTGTGATATGTCATTTTCATTGATGGAAATGAGGAAAATCCAGCCTCACATTGGCATGTAGCCAAAAGAGGAAAGAGTATTTTAGTAGCCTTTCCAGATATTTGTGGTTATTCTTTGATGCTCTACACTAAAACTCAACAATGGTACTGTCTTAAATGTTTGTTGCAATCTGAAAATTTTTAGTAAATTATATTAAAATCCACTGGCAAATCCCATACTCTGAATGAGTATTTTACTCAGGAGTGATGTTTGACCTGGAAGACCCTCTGAAAAGGTCTTCAGGAGTCCTGGAAATTCCTAAACCACCTTTGAAAACCACATTCGTAAGGGGAAGAGGGCTGCCTACCTAAGTTTAGGATTAATCGGTGACACCCAAAGCAGACAAACAGATTTGAATGTACTATATCAAAAATTAACATGTCTGCGGACCAGAGAGTCCTGGGTTCGATTCCCGCTAGGGGCACATACCAAAAAAAAAAAAAAAAAAATTTAACGTGTCTTAATTTATAAAGTATAACTCAAATTAAATGTAAACCAAAAATTAAGGATAAATATCAATATGTGTGTGACACAAGGGGAGGTAATTTTAATATTTAAAGAATTCACAGCTCAATAAGTAAAGCACTAAGTTACATAGATTAATGCGATTGAACGTGAGCACAAAGTTTTTATAGATGAAAATGCTCTATAAAGACATAAAATTTTAAGTAGCAATAGAAAATAGTCTATTAAAGTTGTCAGATTAGCAGATAAGAAGACAATGAAATGGACATGCTCATGTAGTTAGAAGCATTTTTCTATAGAATATGAAGAAGCAATTAAGCAACATGTATTAATAGCCTTAAAAATGTCCATGTCCACCCTGGCCGGTTTGGCTCAGCGGTTAGAGCATCAACCTGTGGTCCAGAGAAACCCGGGTTCGGTTCCTTCTAAGGGCATGTACCTCGGTTGCAGTTTGTCCCCGGCCCTGGTTGGGTCCTGTGGGTGGCAGCCACTCGATGTGTCCCTTTCACATCGATGTTTCTCTCTCTCTCTTCCTCTCTCTCCCTCCTACTCTGTCTGAACAAAAAATGGAAAAATGTCCTCAGGTGAGGATAAAAAAAAAAAAGTCCATGTCCTATGTCTTTTGCACATCTGTGTTAAACGATTTCATATGAAAAATGCTTTGAGGAAGAAGACTCTAGTGATGGCCTTTAAAATAGAAAAAACAGTAGAAATGATTAGATTAATTACAGTTTAATCTACCCAATGAAAGATTAAGCAGCCATTGGAGAGGAAATTATTCACAATGACTGTACAATATAAAGAGAGAAATAGTCTTTAACTTTTAAAGTACTTTTTTTTTTTAAAGCCACTAACAGCAGCCTAGCTCCTGGCCAAGAGCTAGGAGGAAACCTATGTGCTCTGGGCCTTCTCCTGCGATGCTTTGCCTTTATAGGGCTCCTCCTTTCTCTTCAGTTCTGCATTTCTTGAGCCCACTTTGCTCTCAGAGTTCTTCTTGAGGTAGCAGAGTCCTTCCTTCTCTTTCCTGTTCAAGCAGGCCCCTTCTCCACACTAGCCGATGAAGCAGCTCAGTTGGCTTCACGGTATCTTTTTGTGGTTGGCTGGCCAGGTTCAATTCTGTCCACCTGAGAGCTGCAGTTATTGCAACCATTGGGTCTTCTCTTTGCTAGTGGTCAGCTCTCCGGTCCTGACTGTTGTGTTCCCTCTTGACCTTTCCCTTCATCTGCCCCAGAAACAATGACAGGGACTGATCAGACTGGGCATGTTGATGCTGATTCACTCAGAGGGTCCCTTGGACGGAACCAGCTCTCACATCCCTTCATGCCATTTGTCAGCCAGGCATTTGCTGCTGCAACAGGCATGTCTTTCTGGTCTCCTCCCTGTTGCTAGTGGTGTTATCGAGGCTGCCTTTGAAGTCTTTCTCTACCAGCTTGCTTTGGAGGCCTCGGCGGTCAGCAGCCTTCAAGTCGTAATCCTAGGTCGCCTGCCACGGAAGAGGACTAGGGGTGGGAAGGGAAGGGCAGCAGTGGCCCTGACTACAGGCCGGTCCCCACGCTGCCCCCAGCCCTGCTCCCAGCTGGTTTCAGAATCAGTCATGACCTCTCTAGCCTCACTTCCGGCCAAGGGAGAATGAACACAGAGGAGGGTTGGGATCTCTTTCAACTTTAACATCGGTGAAGAGTGCACCGGCAAGCCGCCCTCTCTTCCCAGTTTTGGATCTGACTCTCCTGTCCTGGCATTAAAGTTACCAAACTCCAGCAATACTCAGCTCGCATCAGAGCCAACAGGGGTTCTCCTGGGTGAAAACATGATGACCCCTCCCCATACCCCACTCCCTGCTACCATAAAAAGACATGCTTGTTCTTGTAAAGTGCAAATTCTAGGTGCATGAACTTCGTGGGTTTTGTTGTTTGTTTTATTTCTCACCTGAGGATATTTTTCTACTTATTATCAGATAGAGTGGGAGAGAGAGAGAGAGAGACAGAGAGAAACATCGATGTGATCGAGCCGCATCGACTGGTTGCCTCCCGTACATGAACTTCTTGTTTGGCAGGTATCCTGGGGACACTTGAAAATTACATAAGGTTAAATAGGTGTGGCTTCTGATGGTTGGCGATGGGTGTTGCTAATAACATGACTTCACTCAGTAAAGGTGGTAGCTACCTAGTGATCACACACTGTGGAAGAGCCCTGTGTCTGGTGGTTACTGAGCATGGTGATGGAAGGTTTCATGCAATGGTTCTCATTCTTGGTGTAGTTTAGTTAACATGCATGGAGACGGATCATGCAGATTCTCTTGCCTGAGGACTCACACTGCTCATCCTCAGCCCTGTAACCTCTGTGGCTTCCAACACGAACCAACCAAATAAATGCACAACACTGGGTTTGTCCTGTGTCTTTCCAACCAGCTGCCTTCATGTCCTTTCTGCCCTAACAGCTGCTGCTAGCTTGGAAAAGCAAACAAACAGAGCATCCCCTGAGCCTGCCCTGACGCTAGCACGGGCGTCCCCAGGGGCAGGACACCTGCTGCCCCGTCCTCAGTGCTGCCAGCGGTATCCTGTCTCAGAGTTTTCTGGAACACTTGCTGCCATGTCACTATTGGACATCAAAAACAGCAGGAGTGGACCTCCACTAGTTTCTGTAATTTTCACATTTATCTAATATTACGTGTAACTAATATATATATGTACATGTAATCAGTGATCAGAATTAGTTGGAAAATAGAACTCTCCCCCTAGGAAAGAGAGTGAGTTTATCACCATTGATTGTAAAATGTATTCGCCTATTTTTCTATCGTAGAATTTCACTGTTCCTTCTGGTGACTTGTTGATGTTGTCTCCATTTTGGCTACACAGAAATCCAAAGTATTTTCCTGAGCCAGAATTGTTCAAACCTGTAAGTTACATCTTTCAATATACATTGTCCTTCTATTTTAATGTCTTTTCGTGCCAGGAGTATGAATTCATTCATTAACTAGGACCATGTCATTAACAGCCATATTTCTCTAGTAACGGAAGACTACAAAATACAGGTTAGATTTGCAGTGTAGATGGCATACTGTATACGACCAATCAGATCGGCACGTTTCAGGAATCAGCTTCAGCAACTGTAAAATGAATTTGTATGTGAAACCAGCGCGGCGTGCTGAAACAAACACGCCTGGTTCTGACCCAAGACTCAGTGCGTGCTCTTCAGGCAGTTATTCCGTGACTGGTTTCCAAGGAGCACAAAAAATAAAAGGGAAGCAAATCAAAACTGCGTTCTGCTGTTTCTTAGAAGTGGGGAGTTACAGGCCTGACCAGAATCTTAAGCAGTCATTTGGTCTATTCTCTGCCTTTAGGTAAAACTGTCAAAAATGGCATCCGAATGTATTCATTCTGCATCCCAGGCTCTCTCCAAGGGGGCTGTCAGTGTCTTATTCCCAAATTTATCACCAAGGCAGTTTTCTGATGGAACCTGAGGCCGTACTGTAAACGTTTTTCCTCTCTGGGGTCACTTCTGTGGTTGATTTGCATTGTCATCTACATTTGCCATTGAACAGAATTCTTTTTAAACCTTTTTTAAAATTCATTTGTTATGTTCTAAAAACATCATCGTGGCTGATATTAACAACAGGTTGGAAAAAAATGACCGACAACCCTGCAACTTTACATGCAAGGATTAGCTGTACAAGGTCATTTTTAGCCTAGAGAAATAAAGTTAAGCTTATTTATATAAGGCTGATTTGGGGAAAAAGAAAAAAATGTTTTCTTCCCACAGGAACGTTGGAAAGAGGCAAATTTAGAGAAGTACGCTTTCTTGGACGGCTTCGTGGCCTTTGGAAGCGGGAAGTACCAGTGTCCCGGAAGGTCAGTGAGGCAGCTGGGCTGCATTTACCCACCATGTCTGCAGAGAGGATGGGCTAGAGCGGGGAGCTCCGGCTTAACCTTTCTCTTCTTCATTATCAGACTACGGGGAAAGCCAGGGGACCGTCTTCTGTTTGGTTGGCCAGTCGTACTGTGCGATGTCTTTGCGAGAATGTCTAAAGTGGCTTCCGATAGGAGAGCTCAGGAGAACAAAACAGCACAGTTCCCCTGCCCGATTCCAGCAGGGCTTCTGTTTCAGATGCTCAGCTCCCATAATGGCCGTCTGGGTTTTCCCTTTTTTAAAGATAAAGATAGAAGGATAATCTTTCTTTCTTTAACTACGACCTCGCCGTGCACATTTGTTGGGGTTCCAGAATGTCTTCTGCGTAGAGAATAGCAGCAGCTTTCTAAACGGTTCTTGTGTATTGGGCTGGTTTGGTTCTATCAGCACTTTCCTTTGATGCCTCTTGCAGTTAAGTGAATCTGGCAGCCAGGACTCCCCTTCAGTGTGATGCCCTGTTCTAGACAAGTGTTCATCATTTCATGAAAAATATGTAATGTTATTTATTCAAGCAGAAACTTTTTTATTTTTATTGATTTTTAGAGAGAGAAGAAGAGAGAGGGAGAGAGAGAGAAAAACATGGATGAGAGAGAACATCGATTGGCCGCCTCCTGCATGACCCCACAGGGGATCGGGCCCACAACCTGGGCATGTGCCCTGACCGAGAATTGAACTGGTGACCTCTTGGTGCATGGGTTGACGCTCAACCACTGAGCCACACCGGCCGGGCTCAAGCAGAAACTTTTCTGACCATCTCGCCTGTGCCCGGCCCCCTGCTAAGCCTCAGGGGTAGAGCAGTGAGGAAGGTGGACATGGTCCCTGAGCTCATACACCTTGTACTCTGATGAAGTCCCATTTCTTTATCGGTGTGGATCCCGTTAGAGAATTATTGGTACCTTTTTGTAACAAAATCTCACCTAGTGGATGTACAAATCCTTTAAAAATCTTATACCAGAAAAACTGTAGATTCTTAATTTAAGAAGTCAGTTGTCGTTCTTGTTTAACTAGTATTGTCAGTCCATGTTTGCAGTTATGACTCACTCTGCAGTGTCCATTCTACCCCTCCTTTGTTTCGTGTGTTCTGGGATCAACGTGCTTTTAGCAATATACACCTCCCCCCAAACGGTTGTAGTTAGCCTTAGCCAGCCATTGTAATTCTCTCTTCCTTTTTAGAAGTTATTCTAGTCTTGGCCAGGTAGCTCAGTTGGCTAGAGCATTGTCCTGATACACCATGATTCCTGGTCATGGGCACATAGAAGAATCAACCAATGAATGCATAAATAAGCAGAACAACAAATCGGTGTTTCTCTCTCGCTCTCTCTCTCCCCCTCTCCCTGCCTCCTCTCTCTCAAATCAATCAATAAAAAGGGAAGTTATTCTCAGAGCCTAAGGGTAAGCAGACTGTTGCCTATTGTTCCCTGGAGACACTGTTTTGTGTAGGTGGTTGACCTAAACTGGCCATTCAGATTGAAAGGAGAGACTTTTCTCCATGGTGAGGAGAGAGGCCCCTTTGTCCTTCCCCATCGGGTGTGCACAGGAAAGCATGCTGCACCCCAGTTCACCTGCAGACTCAGGTGGAACAAGCCTCAGGATGCTGAGGAGTCTGTGGAGGGCAGAGCAGAGATGCGGACAGAAGCTGGTCCCTGTGACATCATTGTGTCACTGAATCACCAGTTTTGAGCAGCTCATCTGCTTCCTGTCATGTTAGGTAATAAATGTTTTTATTTTTATAAATAAAAATATAGTACATACATTTATTATGTACAGTCAGTGTTCATGATTTTTAAGGCAGTTTGAGTTGAAGTTTATTTTTGTCTGGAGCACAAAGCATGCTGACATACCCCTCAGAACTTCCAGGGTGATCCTTGTAGTTGAGTGTCTGAGACTTTAGGCCGTAGTGTAATAAACAGAAATGACAGCAATAGCAAAAACCTCAAATATCTGCCTTTTACATTATTTTTACTTTTGATAAGTAGTTCTTAAACCAAGAACACATTTGTGGTTTTGTCACCTAGTAAGTATCAGTTTTGTAAGAGTAGCCCTTTTTGCCCTGGCCTGTTTGGCTCAGCAGTGAGAGCATCGGCCGGAGGACTGAGGGTCGCAGGTTTGATCCCTGGCCCCAGCCCGTCGTGCAGGAGGCAGCTGTTCGATGTGTCTCTCTCACATCAATGTTTCTCTCTCTCTCTCCCTCTTCTACTCTTTCTGAATATCAACGGAAGAATATCCTCAGGTGAGGATTAGAAAAAAAGAGTAGCTCTTCTAAAAATAATAGATACTACTTTTTTCAGGTCCCTTTTATATATATTTCTTTAAGAAAAAATTTTTTTAATTGATTTTAGAGAGAGAGGAAGGGAGAGGAAGAGAGAGAGATAGAAACATCGATGAGAGAGAACATCGATTGATTGCCTCCTGGAGTTGGCCCACAACCTGGGCATATGCCCTGACTGGGAATTGAACCGGCGACCTCTTGGTGCATGGGTTGACCCTCAGCCACTGAGCCACACTGGCGGGCTATATATATTTCTAATTGCAACTAAAGAGTTTATTAGAACCATCTTTGAAATTGACCTAGAAATATTTTAAACTAAGGTCTGAAATGCTTGGCAATAAAGCATGTAGTAGGGCCAGTGGTCCACTGATGACTAGTGTTTGTAAGAGGAGCTGTTAGGACATTACTGTAATAGCTTTTGAGGCTGATAGGCATTTACTTGAGTTTGAGAGTAATGGATACAATAGAGAGAACCAAGACATTTTAGCTCAATCAGTTGTATCTTATTTATTCAGAAACTGTAGAAATTTATGCACTAGAAATTATTTTAAAATAATCTTTTATTGATTTTAGGGAGAGAGGAAGGGAGAAAGAAAAACATCAATGTGAGAGAAACCTCCATCAGTTGCCTCTCACGTACACCTCGACTGGGTACCCAGCCTGCAACCCAGGCATGTGCCCTGATCAGGAATCAAACTGACAAGCCGGGCTGGTGTGGCTCAGTTGGCTCAGTTGGTTGAGCATAGTCCCTGTTGGATTCCTGGTCATGGCTTGATCCCCAGTAGGGGGCGTGCAGGAGGCTGCAGATTGATATTTCTCTCTCATCGATGTTTCTGTCTCTCTCACTCTTCCTTCCTCTCTAAAATAAAATAAAAAAAAATGTTTTAAAGAAACAAAACAAAACAAAAAAATGGTGACCTTTTGGTACACAGGATGACTCAACCAACTGAGCCACGCTGGCCAGGGCTGCACTAGAAATTTAATCCCACAAATCCTTAGTATAATCCCCAGAAAATTGCTCCCATTCTTAGTTTGTGTATCGGCAGCAAATTTATTTTCTCAAGTACCAAATACTCGGTGTGTCAGAGAAGGTTGCCTGTAAAGTCACTGATGATCCAAGTTCATCACGAATAGTCTGGTGGCCGTGCAGCTGTCTTCTTGGTGTTCAGGCCACCAAGGCAGCATTGAGACCCCGGGCACAAGTCAACACGGAAGATTCTGCTGTCTATACTGAGTAAATACTGAGTGCTGCCATCAGCCGCCAGCCACACATCGGACTGGAAGAACTGTAGTTCCTCCTCCAAAGAGTGGGAGTTCTGAAAACACCTTTGGAGGAAGAACACCTAGCTAGGCACTTTCCTGGAGCTGGGGAACTCCGGGTACACACAGCGAGGGAACTCTTCCTGGTAATTCTGGAGAGGAAAGTTGGTTTTGTGGGATAACAGGAGGAAGCAGCATGAGCTCCCAGACTTCTTCCGCTATGGTAGCATGCAGGATGAAGAGTCACAGTGTGGTGGATAGTCTCCTCCTAAACTATGAATCTAAATGGAGAAATAGGTCAGAGGATTTTTAGTGTTGTGTGGGTGTCTCTGAGAGTTGATGATCTTACCAGAAAGGGATGTGCTTGCTAGAGCCAACCCCTAGAATCTATACCAAGCCAAAAGCCTTGATTTTCCTTGGTTCCCGTCCAGGCAAGGGGATGCCTGGGTGGCTGTATCATTCTGCTAATTGATAGGGGTTACATTCGTGTAAAATAGTCACCCTGGTTGTTGGCAAGATTAACCCACTTACAAAGGCATGCTGGGATAAGAAGAGGGTAGATAAGAGTGGGACTGTGAGAAGTGGGAATGAAGCATGGGTTGGATTCCTTGGGAATAAACACTGACTTCCACCTGTGTGTGTTTGGCTCCCACTTGTGTCCTAGGGCAGTACTAGGCCACAAAGTCATGGCCGTGTCTTGAATTACTAATGAAAATCACACAGCTGTTGGAAAATTAATCCAAACATAGGTCCAGCTGGTGATAAATTGGTAGCAGTAGTATTCAACCTAACCAAGTACCTCTTAAGTACCTAGTATTAATATCATTATTGTTTCACTCAATAAATATTTATTGAATGTATACCATATTTCATGGTGCGGCTCTAGGAGTTACCTTGGAAATCAAAATAAGGGCTGAAAGTCCCATCCCTCGGGAAGCTTATAGTCTAACTCAAGTCACTTGGTTAAACACCAGAGAGATTCAAAGACACATATCATTCCTGTATTGCTTATAACGTAGTTGGGGAGATGAGACATAGCAACGTGAAAAGCCAGATGAGTCGTGTACCTTATCATTGCCATAGGAGCTGAGAGGAAGGGGCATTAAAAGGGGCTATGCAGCCTGGATGGGAAAAGTCAATAAACAGCATAGAAGAAAGCGCACCTTTCTGACAGGCAGCAGTTTCAAGCTTCGAGGGGAGACAAGTGGAAATATTCACAGGAACGTAATGGACCTGTCTGTTAATGGGGCACCCATGTATTTGGGGGGTTGTGAGGCTCTGAGCACAGTTGTTTCTATATGTTCATTTTAAAGATAATGTTTTAATAATTGTGCCTGAATGAAATATCTTTTCACAATCTTGTATTTGAGAAGTCCTGTAAGTAGCTCTTCCTTTTATACTTATAAATAGCTG